TATATATAAATAAAATTACTATGTAAACGAGACAGTGATTTTCTTGGCTAAAGCTTATCCCTCTTTCCTAAAGGCCAGAATCGAACTTTTACTTCCCGGATCTGCACCACATCAAATACGAGGTTGAGGATGGAGTGACTCCCAGTGGCAGGACTGCACGCTTCGGCTACGACCAGCGGGAATTTCCAGACTTCAGCTGGAGGGGCTACGCAACCATGTCATCTGCACAAGTAGGAAACGTGAAGTTGTGATTGTGATCGTTCTGGGCTTTCTCTTTACTGTTTTTCCTTTAGAGGAGGGGAAAGAGTTGTGAGGAGGGCTGATCCCATCTTCACTTGGCAGTGGTTTTGAAGAGCCTTCCTGTCTGCTGCTTGTTACACTGTGTGGGCGCTTCTGTAGTGAGGGGGATGGTGGCGGTGGAGGCTGGCAGGCCCGTGAGGGGTTGTGGTGTTTCTGTCTTGCGCGGTTCTCCTCCTGTCTTTGGCCCTAACACTCTTTCTTCCCAGCCAGAGGTGGTCCTGCCAGTCACTGTGACTTCTTCTAGCCTCTACCGTATTATAGTACGTTTCGCCACCCCGGCTTCCAAAACGCCTGCCAGAGGGAGGATCTTGGTGGCAGAGGAAGTTCATTTTCCCTCTTGTTGTAATTGTAAGTGAGTCTTTCAAGCTTGTGTGCTTACGTCTCGACTGGCGTACTGTACCTCTCTGCATGGCTCCTTGACACCATCCCAAGACGCTGCCTGTCCGTTCTTTCCTCCTTCCTGTACCCGTTCCTGTGCCCTTATTGCCTTCCCCCCTTTTTCAGAATGAAGTCAGAGTAACAGTGCATGTGGATGAGGCAAGACACTCTTTGTTCAGTGTCATCCTGAGGTTTGTTAACCCCGGAGACACGGCTCTGTATGGCCGTGTGACTGCTTCCCAAGTCCGTGCTAGCACAGGTAAGGCAGCTGGCCTTGTGTTTTCAAAGCTGCTTCCCGTGGGATTTGTTCTCTGTTTTAAGGAGCTCATTTCCTGGCATGGTACGGTATGATGATCTGTGGTGAGAGGCTCATCCATGATAAATCAGTCTTCTGTAGTTGAGTCTGTTTTTTAAGGCATTTGAATGCTGTTTTGATCATAAATGAGTGTGAAGGTCACGTTATTGATTGGCATTATTTTTGTCATTGTTTTATTGTATTCTAGTGTTCTGAAATTACTGTTTGAACTGTGAGAAGCATTACATTCTTCATCATGCTTTGTTAGGGCATCTTATTAATGACATTTTTACGTTTGGTGTTGGTCAGGATTGTAATGTAATGTTTCAGTTGTAGGCATATTCCCAAAGACATGAGCATCTGCCATGAGCTGCTGTAGTTTGTCTCCTTAACTTCAAGTTCCCTTTTTACCTCCTAGTGATGTCACGGCTCCTGTTTCAGCTCTTCTAGTAAATCTGTGAGCCATATAGAATTAAGAGCCTTTCGTTCTTGCTCAAATTAAAAATGTAGCTTTTACAGAATTGTTTCTAACTTCTTGAAAGACAGAAGCAAAGTGAAACAAAGTACCCACAATTTGATAGCAGAAATTACTATCCTGATATGGCTCTGGAAAAACTGAATCATTTTCAAAACATACTGTATCTAAGTTGCCTTTTT